TCGAATGGACTCGTGTCCACTTTCATAGACATTTCTCCAAACTTCAATCTTCCTTGGTCAATCGCATCTTGGATCGTGTTCCTGAAATGTATACAATTGTTAGTCCAATGTCCATAAATATTATGAAATTTACAATATTTCCGACCATTCCTCTGTTCTGCAGAAGGCAGTTTATGATCTTCACTCAACTTAATCTGTTTATCTTTTAATAGAATATCAAATATTTTATCCGCCTTTGTTACATCGAAAGTATACGTTCGATTTGCCATCTTGTCTTTTACTTCATTTTTCTGTAGTAATTTACAAATGTATGGAGCTCCTACTTTGAGCTCTGCTATATTTACTTTCTCATCGACAACTTCTTCAATCTCAATTTCTGTCTCGGGATCTGTCTCATACACATCATTTATATATGCTACTCTTTCTTTTTTCATGGGTTTCTCAAATTTCTTATACCTTTGTTTTTCATATTCAATTTGTTCTACTCTTCTCACTTTATCAGCTAATTGAGCCATGTCATTCAACGGTAAATTAACTAACTTTTTCCTAATCGAGAATTCTAAGCCTGCAGAGGCCATTCTGACTAATTCATATTCAGGAATTTGAGTAAAACATCTCGACTTTATTTGTCTAAATCTATTCAAATTATCATCTATGCTTTCATGATTGTTTCTCTTTATGTTCATTAAATCGATGAGACTTACTTGAGTCTCTCCTCTAAAGAATTGCTCATGAAAATTTCTTTCCAGTTGCAACCAATTATATATCGAATTGGGTGGCAACGAAGTAAACCAAGTGAAAGCATTTTTAGTCAATGAACTAGGGAAATATTTCATTTTTAATTCTTCACTCATTGCTAGATCCCCACATTCGATCTGATATCGAGCCACGTGCTCGATAGTGGATTCACCAATTTCTCCAGCAAATTTGGTGAATTTAGGTACTTTGTATCCTCGAGGTAATTCTGTCTCGAGAATAGCATTTGGAAAAGGAGAAACAAAGTACGTTTGATTGGGTGGTCTTAACTCCATTCCTTGGGAATTATCCTTTGTCCTAACATGATATTATTTTGATTGTACATATTTTGAAATCCCTCATTCAGATTCCCATAAATATCATTCCTCACATGTTGATATTCATTCCCCATATGCTGATGTCGATCATTGTTTCGATTTCTCCTCAATAGATACGGGGGATTGATATTAGCATTTTGGTTAATGTTCTGATTGACATGATTTTCCACTCTTGTTTGTCGAGGTATAGCCAATGCATCCCCGATACGTGACATTTGGTCTGCTAATATCTCAAAACTAGCAGTAATGTTTTGAACTAATGGATTGAGGACTGTAGTCAATTGTTGTGATAACATATTCACCATCTCAAAATTGCTCTCATCCATTTGTTGTCTAAGTATTCCTAACGAGTTACTGGAGATCCCAGTACTAGTGTTTTCAATAGTCTCAAAATTGGATCGATGATAATCTCTATCGAATGCGTTTCTCCCATGATCCAGATTTGCTCTTTGATCTAGATTTGGAGGTGTCTGTTGTGTACCTAAATTCTGCCCACTCCCTGAATTCTGGGGGGTTACTAAATTTTGAGACGCCCCTAAATTTGGAGAGACTCCAAAATTTTGCGGCATACCTAGAGTTTGAAAGGTACCTAAGTTCTGAGGCATTCCTAGGTTAAATCTCGAGTTTCGTTGTATCGAAGAGGTACCAACCCCATTCATATTATTAGGCGAAAAACCAGGTGGCCTTATGCACATATACGGCCCTGCATATGTTGTTATGGGGTTCCCCATCACAGTACTAGATCCTACTTGAGTGTTTGCTAATGTGCCTGAACTTTGTTCATTACTCACAGGTATCGACATACTCACAGTCGTCGATATTACAGACATATTTCCATTATGACCTTGCCCCCCAGTGTTTGGTGGATGTGAACCATTTAGACCCTCACTGTTACTCTGGTTATTTGGTGGGTTTTGACTCATTCTTATAACTCGCCCACTCCTTAATCTCATACACTTTTCGAACTAACCAATTGTGTTTTTTCGACACAAATGTCCCCCTACCTGGCGCGCCAATTTGTTTCTGGTGGAAATTTGATCGATTTCGATTTCTAGGGAATTTTGTTCTAACCAAATTCCAACCACGTAGATTCTTTTTACTTAGGCTAGCAGACGGTTTTCAATCGAAATATGCATGAGAATCGAAAATACCCCGATATCAAAAATACTGAACGCAACCTAATGTGTAGATTAATAGTCAAAAGGGCTATTTTTGGTATTTTGTATTTAAAGTACTCGAAATAAAGAAAGCAGTAAAATGTCAAATCGAAAAGCAGTACAGAATATAAAGCTACGAAGAAATGTAAAATATGGAAACTTCAAATTTGCATTAAGTGTAGATGACAAAGAATCGAAATTACGGGAATATAAATAACAGGAAATCGAAATTACAGAAATGTAAATAGCAGGAAATCGAAATTATGTTAATATTAATGACAAGGAACTTAAACGCAGAAACTTAACTTTCATTAAAGGAAAATGACAAGGAATCGAAAATACAGAAACTTAAAGTTGCTAAACATAAACTGCATCAAAGTAAATTACCAGGGAAAATAAAGAAAGCGGTAAAGGAAATCAATGAATATGGAAATCCAGATCGCCAGAAACTTCATGATGTTCGTCGTTCTCCGGTAGACTTCTTACTAGTATTCCTGCTCTCTCTGCCAATTTCCACCCTCTTTTTCCTTCATCCTTCGCTCTATTTATAGGGCATCTTTCAAGTAATCTCTTAGGAGCAGTTAACGAAAACTGCTACCACATTCTGTGTGCACGTCTTTTGCAGTTTTACTCCTAGCTCTACGGTTTAGAAACTGCATTCACGTTCCCATACATGAGGTAACTACTCCCTTGACCTTCGACCTTTGCCACCGCTTACCATGTTCGATGTGCACGTCAACTGTTCCTCTCTTTATAACTTAGCCGGGATTTCGATATATGGGTTAACCATTCCCTTGATGTTGATTTCGAAATCTCGAGAACGTTTGACTTGCCTTTGATTTCCCTTAACCTTAACATTACATAATTTTGATTTCTCGATTTCATTCACTAACGGATATTAAACATTATTCCTTCGATTCTCGATTCTAGTTCTCGCTTATATTGTCACATGGTCGTCGAACATATTTTCCAACTATCTTTCGATTTATCAGTCTTTAACTCAATCAAAATGGTTCTCGATTTTTGCTCCCATTTGTTTCTCGATCCCTTTATTGATTTCCCACTAACAAGTAGTAATTGGTTAATATATCTATTAAGCGTGTTCGTGTGAGTAGCTAATGGTAAACAGATGGTTGTGTTTGAACTTAACATGGTGGGTGATGGCATGAAGTTTGTTTTTTTTTTGTTTCTTTGGATGTGCAATTCGACTAAATGTAATCAAATAATTTAATAGAAGGAAAAATATGTAATAAAAACGGGAAAAAAAGTTATGAAAGGGTTTCATGGTTTTGATGTTTAAGAAATAATTGAAAACAATAAAATTAAAGACGAAATAAAAGTTAAATACAACATAATAAGAAAAGTATATGAAAGACAATGATTAATTATACAATAATCATCTTATTCAATTCATTATCATTAATTTTTAAACTTAAATCTAACCATATGATAAATACATAACAATTCTAATAATTTACCATCAAATTAATTATATTTTAAAAATATAAGTCAATTTTAAAAAAATAATAATATAAACCTAAAAATTGATTCATGATATAATTAGTCAAATTCAACGTTAAAATGATTATAAATAATTAGAATTTTAAAAATAAAATTTAGATAAGAAAACTAACCCTAAAATCTTATAAAATCATTAAAATACAATGTAAAATCGTAAATGAAAATTAATTCAAAAAATTAAATGAAAGTAATAATGAAAATAAAATAAATTTAATTTAAAACATCTTAAATTAAAGAAACTTAAGTAAAATTGGTAGAGAAACTTGAAATAAAAAACTTGAGTGGTCTTGACTAATAACAATAGAGAATCTAAAACTAAATATAAAAATTACAAGTTATTATCTTTAATTTTTTCAAACCTATATTTATCCAAGGTTGAATCAATGCTTCAACTTAATAAAACTACTTTAAAATTAACTCTTAATATTTTTTAATTTATCATACGTTATTACATTAATAAGATTTAATAATTTGTATTTAATTTTATTAATAAAAATATGTGTGACAATTAAGTTATTTATTATTTTAAATTTTTTTAGTTTTACACAATAATTATACAGTCATTTTTTCTAAAAAAAATTTAACAAAATAAAAAGTTAAAAGGAAATACAAATTTTAATAAGAAAATTTTCAAAACTCAATTCACCTAACTCAATTTAGTCTCATCAAGTAAATATCAAAACAATTCAATTTAACTCAAAATATTTTTATTAAATTGAGTGAAAAGTTTGTCTACATTCGATTTAAATTAATCTATCTTTTTTTTAATTATAACTATTATATTTTAATAATTATTAATTATTAATATTGATTTTTTTTTCAATAGCCATAATAAATCACTAATGAAATATATTATTAAGAATAGAATATGTTTTTGTTTTCTCTTATTTGAAAATTTTTCTTATTTATATTTTCTTTAACAATATGTATATAATTTTAAAAATATATATTTATGTTTTAAAATTAATATATATATATATATATATATATAATTTTAATTTACTAAAATAAATAAAAAATAATAAACCATAATACTCGCTAGGCATAAAATTTGTATAAATATAAAACCAAATACATAAACCTAAATAAACTACAGAAAAATGAATAATTTAACCAAAACAAATATTTTACAGTAGCTAGATATATAATCTATGTCCATGCTTGAAGTGAACTGGTATCTTCTCAACTACCTCAATCGACAACCTGCGCCTAGGGTCAAGTTCAGTCCACACTGCACGGCAACCCTTCAATGAAAAACGCCACTCACTCAGCCGGCGAGATCTCACCAGAGATGAGGATAGCCGAGAGCGACGGTGATGGTGGTGGTGGGCCCAAGCCCACGATCAAACTCAACGTTTCGTATGGTTCTTCTCACCATGAAGTCCACCTCCCGCCCCAATCAACTTTTGGTTAGGTTTCTCTTTTTCAATCCCTGGAACCTCATTGATATTATTATTTATTAACAAATTTAATATATTTTTTTTCTGTTTCCTTTATTGGACTTGAATATGATAAGTTTGGTGTGCCTGGGGAACATTTTGGGTTCGGTACAAGCAATTGTGAGTGAAGGGGGAAAAAAATTAGAAGGAATAGGTTTTGATCTTCAAGTGACACGTGTTAAAAATGGATTGGCGTTTAGGGAACTTTAAATTGATATATGTGAGGGTTTTTTGTTCAAGATCCTACTTAATAAACTATTGAAGTTTTGTTCGGAAAGGGTTGAACTTTTTTACTCTAAAGTGGATTTCTTTAGTGTTATTTAATTAATGGAAATTAATGAGAGCATGTTTACTCATTTCATGTGTTGTGATAACATCCATGTTCCAAACTCATTTTCTACTCTTAGTAAAAAGAGATGTGCTTTGATAGAGTTATATTAGTTATAATCTATTTATTTATCTGCATAGGAATGTCGATAACAAATTATGTGATAAGATAGTGAGTTATAAGCTCTATAGTTGTAACCTTATTAGCTTTGGATTTTTGCAAGTAAGTAACTGGTGAAATTATGATACTGAAATGATTATTTGAATCAAGGAATACCACAGCATTGTAAAGCTTCTTAAGAAAGTGAAAATTGACTATCAGACAAGTTACTTGCCTCCATTGATTTGTTGCTCTTATTTTTGTTTTATAGAAAGAGTGGAATGAATTTATTCCTTCAAACAAGTTTTGATTAAAATTAAAAACATAATTATTGGGAATGGTTCGCGGCCTATGGAAAGATTTACTTATGGGTAAATTATTTTAAAATTTTATAGTTTTGGTTGGTTTCAAGTTCATCGATAAACATTTTTAGCACAACAGTTTTTGTTATTTTTCTTCCGTGAACTTGAGGCTAAGTAATTTACTTATTGGCTGCAAATTGACTCTTGTTCAAAATTACCTTAGTGTTTGTGTTTATTGTCACTTTAGAACTTGGTCTTTAATTAGGTCCAATGGCATTGTGCGATCGATATTCTTGACTTTATCAAATAGAAAAAGACTTTTGTTTATATTTGGAGAAAAAGAAGAATTCCCAGCAAATTTTCTGATTGTACTTGTTACTTCTTGGGGATTGAGGGACTTGAAGCACACTACTTTGACGGAATTATTAGTCTAGTCTGACTTCCTTCCGTAAGCTGTTCATTCTGTTTAGAGTTTTATCCTCATCATGATATTTATTGTTTCTTCTTCTATAATATGTTAATGGAAGTTGGTGTTTGACATAGGTATTTTTAATGCAGAAATGTGAATAATTCCCAATTGAATAAACTCCAGTAAAGTATGCTTGTCAACAAAGTGAGCAAATCAGATGTATTCATCCTTGAGTTTTCGTGGGTTAAGATTGCAATGCACTTTATGTTTAATCAAGGATGGACACACCCTTGGATATTTAATAGACAACTCACTTCAGAGATTCCTCGTCCAATTAGAGAAAAAGGATAATGGAAAGGATTACAACAAGACAGATTTACAGTAATAGATGGTCCCTCATAAAAAATAGGAAGATAGCTCAAATCATTCAAGATATAAAACCAATCTGATCCCATACCCAGTTCTTGCATGTTTCTCTCCACTCCATCCCTATCTTTTATTGCACTCTTAGTAATTGAGTTTGCTCCCCTGTCCACCTTTCTTTTGAGCAGGGCGGACCCACATCATACTTATCACAATCCTTTTCCCTGTGACTAGAAATATTCTATCAATGGTATATGTGTTGTCTAGCGGGGTCATTCCTACTGTTTTCATAATATCAAATTAATACTGTCCAGCATTATGATATTAATCATTTCTTTGTTTGGAATATGGTTGAGGAAATTACTGCCTGTCTTGGTTGTCATATAGTTAGTTCTGTTGAAAAAGAATGAATTCTGTTTTCATTGATATATGTATTTCTCTTATTTTGGGTTTTCAATAACAGGGGATGTTAAGAAGCTGCTTGTCGATAAAACTGGTTTAGAGCCTGAAGAGCAAAGACTTTTCTTCAGAGGGATAGAAAAGGGTGATAATCAGCATTTGCACCTCGAAGGTGTAAAGGACAAGTCAAAGTTATTACTTTTGGAGGGAACTGCTAGCAAAGAGAGGAAACTTGAGGAAACCAGAAAACAAAATGAGATATCTAAAGCTTTTGAGGCTATTGCTGGTGTCAGAGCTGAGGTGGACAAGCTCTCAAATAGGGTGAGTATATATATATATGTTTGAAGTATTAGTGCTATACTTATTATATAATCATATCAATTAGAGAATAGTTTGTTGAATGCTTTTAATTTTTCAGGTGACTGCCTTAGAAGTAGCTATCAATGGGGGGAATAAAGCTTCCGAGAAAGAGTTTCTTGTGTTGACAGAGTTGCTTATGAGTCAATTGCTAAAATTAGACAGTATTGATGCTGAAGGTGAAGCGAAGTTGCAGAGAAAAGCTGAGGTAGTATTAATCATATTAGGTTGCAAAGTTGAAGTGTTAATTATTTGTCTGTTATTGTTGTCTTTTTCCCCTCTATTTCATGCAATCTCACATATTGTTCAGTCATGTCTGTTAACACCCCTCAATTTTACTTTATAAATTATAAAGCAGTGGATGAAATTATGTGAAGTATTTTTTTTACCAAGATGCATTGTATTTCAATGTCTCCCTTGTGAAAAATGTTAGCAATTTTGGGTCATACATATATATATTACATACATAATTATGTGTTAGGACCATTATTTTATTAGCCAAAATATTAAAGTGGTCTAATTAATATAAAATTATAGCTAAGGGCATATATGTCATAAAAGGCTAATTGTGTAGATACTATTAGTGATATTATAATTTGAAGAGGGGTCATATTATAATCATCAAATTTGAGGTAACTTATGTTAATTATGAATACAAGAGGTTATGGTCCCCAATTGTAGAGAGAGGGAAGAACATGAAACTGTTTTTTGAATTCTTTTAATCTTTATCCCTTCAGAAGAGAAAACACAGAATAAAATAAGGCTCTCTACAATTTGGAAGATCATCAAACCAATCTTGATGCACATCAACCTTTCATCATTTCATTATGGCTAATACATGTACACTTCTATATTTAGTTTTCATCATGATTTTGATATTGGGAACACAATGGGGTTTCGTTCATCTATGTATCTCTACATGGATAGAAAGTATATGGTTAAGATTGATGATTTATTGTAAGAATCAAATTAGGTTGGTTGATTGAATCCCAACAATATGGTATGAGAGCTAGGTTACAGTGCACCACTCATTTAATCACTCATTTAATTGCACGGCTCATTTAAATACATATATATAAAACTTTGTGCTTGTTCTTACTTTTAGAGGCCGCTACAACAAATTAAAATAACAATCATGGGATTCTAAAATTTAAAATAAATAAATAAAATTGAAATAATTTACTGTTGAAATGTTTTATTTTTGGATATGGTGCATCAATGTTCAAATTTTGGCTACGGTAAATCGTTTTAATTGTTTAACATTTAAATGAGCTAATTGTTCATAAGAAAGGTTAACATTTGTGATTATTCATAGTGGTGATTGGCACAAAGGAAAGTTACCATTTAACTAATTTATATACTCATATGTGATGTTAAAAGTATGATAATTATGAGGTTTTGCATGTGAATGATAAATCACATCCAAAGATGGGTTTGTTATTTGATATACTTTTATTATCAATGTTTGAACATTATAACAAGGATTTCACTAGCTATTAATACTACTATCCAAAGACTTGATATTAATGGTGCACTATATATCTTGAAATGGGTTATACCATTATTTAAATGCATTGATGACTGTTCCGTGAGTTTATTGTATTATTTGTTTTGATCTTTCACAGTTGTTACGTCTATATCTGTTAATGTGAATTCGGTTTTGGTTCTTAATGGTACAAATTTTAAGGATTGAAAAGAGAACATGCAAATTGTTCTTGGCTGCATGGATCTAGGTACAAATTTTAAGGACTGAAAAGAGAACATGCAAATTGTTCTTGGCTGCATGGATCTAAACCTTGCATTAAGGATTGAGTTGTTGGGATTCAATCAATCTACCTAAGTTGATTCTTACAATAAATCATCATCCTAACCATATGTTTTCTATCCATGTAGAGATATATTACGAAACCCCATTTTGTTCCCACACTCAAAATCATGATGAAAACTATATGTAAAAGCGTATTTGTGTTAGCCATAATGGAATGATGAAAGATTGATGGATATCAAGATTGGTTTGATGATCTTCCAAATTGTAGAGACCCTCGTGTTATTATGTGTGTTTTCTCTTCTGAAGAGATAAAAATGAAAAGAATTCAAAAAATATTTTGTGTTCTTCCCTCTCTACAATTGGGGATCATAACTGTTTATATTCTTAACTTCCATAAGTTACCCTAAATTTGATGATTATAATTTAGCCCCTAATCAAGTTATACTATCACTAATAGTATTTATACAATTAGCCTTTTATTACATATATGTCCTTAACCATAATTTTATATTAATTAGACCACTTTAATATTTTGGCTAACAAAATAATGGTCCTAACACATAATTATGTAATATATATATATGTATGACCCAAAATTACTAACAATATCCCATTGGTCATAAATATACATATCCTTACAATCCTTATAAATTGTGTTAGATTTTATGAGTTCAAAATTTGCCAATTACATCCGCACATAGAACCAAAACAATTTTCATTGTATCAATCACAGCAAAAGTCATCAATGATCACTAATGCTGACAAAATCAAATTACATAGACTTATCATGAAATGTGTAGCATGAAAATAATGTGATGGTGGCCTTGACATGTTTATTTTCAACTAGTCCTACTTTACCTCAATGAGATCTTTTAATAACCTTAATATATAAAGTGTCACACACACACACACAAACACACACATGGTCGAGCTCCTATTGTTGTTAGAATACAATACGATTACACACACACAAATGTGCTTTGACTTGGTCGAGCTCCTATTATTGTTAGAATACAATACGGTTGATTTGTTATCACAATATAACTCAAGTGGTTTTTTAATTCCTTCTACAATTTGTAGTCCTGTGACAAATTTCTTAGTTATATTGCATGATTTGATGTCTCCTAGCATGCCCCACGCACACCAATGTGCTTCGACTTGGTCGAGCTCCTATTGTTGTTAGGATACAATACGGTTGATTTATTGTCACAATATAACTTAAGTTGTTTTTCAATTCCTTCCACAATTTGTAGTCCTGTGACAAAATTTCTTAGCTATATTGCATGATTTGATGTCTGATAGCATGCCACAAATTCAGTTGCTATAGTGGTTGAAGTAGTAAGGGTTTATTGACACTACGCCAAGTAACCGCACCACCCGCTAAATGAAAATGTAACCTGAAGTGAATCTCAAACTATCTTGGCATCCTACAAAATCCGAGTCAAAATACCTAGTGATCTCTAACTGGTTTGACCTCTTGTATGTGAGCATATAATACTTTGTTCTCTTCAAATACCTCATAACTCTTTTGGCTACTTTCCAATGATCCATTCCTGAATTGCTTAAATATCTATCTAATACCCCAACCATGTTTGTTATATCTGGATACATATATACTTGGACATACATCAAACTTTCTACTGCTGATGCATAGGGAATCTTCTGCATTTCCTGAATTTTCAAATTTCCTTTTGGGTACTGTTTGAGACTGAACTTGTCTCTTTTAGCAACTGGAGTATCCCGGGATTTACATTCCTGCATGACAAACCTTTTAAGTACTTTTTCAATAGCTTCTTTGTGATAATCCTAGAATACCTTGAGATCGATTTCGGTGTATCTCAATTCCTAATACAAAGGAGTCTTGAGCACCAAGACGCATTGTATTTCAATGTCTCCCTTGTGAAAAATCGGGTCAATAAAAGAAGTCTTGAGAAAGAAAAGTGTGTTGTTTGTTAGTGTTAATTTCCTTATCAACTACTTTCTAACCATTTTCTTTTTTTGGAATGAATAAACGTACTTGTTTTACGTTGTAAATATTGCCCTTTTGGTAATCATATAGTACATTGCACCATTTCTTCACATATTGCTTAAAATTACAAACACACTTTCATTGTGGAGATGCAATATGGAGAGGTCTATATATTGCATCAGCATTGCATTTATTACCGTTGATGGACTGAAAGAAGTTTTCCCCCATTGAATAGGTGCGTCGTGTGCAGAACCTAGTGGATAAACTAGATTCTCTAAAGGCAAGAAACTCCAACCCTTTTATCAGTAGTAGCAATGCTGTCAAAGTAACAACTCAATGGGAAACCTTTGACTCTGGAATGGAAAGCTCGGATGCCCCAACCGATAACTCACCTTCAACAAAAGTATCTCAAGATTGGGAGCGATTTGATTAGCTCAGAAATTGTTTTGGAACATACAAGTTATAAAGCTTGTATAACTTGCCCTTCATCCTTTGTTCGAGATACACTCTTTTGGTTTGCTTGAAGTCTTGGCGCAACGACAAGATCGTTGCCTTGTGATATTGTAGGCCCATATTCTAATAGCAGAAATATTCTCTCGCCAGAGGTAAAGTTGCATGTGTTTAATCTATATCGTGCACTTGGTTTTAGGAGAAACATGTAGACCAAATTGTATTCTTTATACTTGAAGTATATTATTTTGCATCTTTGGATAAATTTTTGTCTTCTGTTTGTAAAGTTGTTCATAGTTTATGCTTTTATTGGTGGCGTTCATTTCAATTTCTTTTAACAACTTTTTATTTTGTTTTCTGCATTAGCTACACCGACTCAGAATATACTTCTTCATCAACCACCTGCAGGATTAAACAATTTAATAAACCCTTGTATCACTGACTACAGTATACTATTTTTTTATTGAGATTTTTAACCCATCTCCTTACAGTAGAACACGGCAATGCGGTTTTAAAGTATGTTCTATTCTGTGAAATTGTCATTGTGTAAAAATTTGGATAAGTTATGAGAGAAATTTTTTATTAACTCATGCATAGAATAATTTTAGTTCATAAAAAAAAGTTCATCTCAATTTTTCTTAGTTTTCTCTTCTGAAGTGTCTAGAAATTTATGCAAATATTTCCTTAATTCTTTCGATTCACACCCTTTACTTGATCTTCATCTGTCACAAGTAATACAATGTGCATTTAAAGATGTATACTCCATTTTTGTAGTTGTGGAAGTAATACTTCCTAGGTGTTCAAGTGAAACAAATGAGAAACGGAACTTATATCAATCCAAATATTTCTTTAAGCTCTTAAAGAAGTTTGGCATGGAAAGTTGTAAAGAATCAGTAACATCCATGTCAACTAATTGTTATATTGATGGAGACGAAAGAGAGAAACAAGTGGATTCAATCAATTTTAGAGGATTATTTGGTTTAGTATTATACTTAACAACTAGTAGGCAATGTATATAATGTTTTAGTGTGTATGTCTCAGGTATAAATTTTGTCATTATAGTGTTATAAAAAAGAACCTTGAAATACTTAAAAAGTGCTATAAATGTTGGTTTTTAGTTTTCATGTTGTGTTTTATTCATCGTTTTGGAACTAGTTTAATTTTATGGCATAGTGAAAAAACAAGTATGTGTTGTCTTATTCCTTAATAAAACTGAATATACAACTGTTGAGAGTTGTTGTACTTAAACAAAAATTGGGTGGCTATGGGGTGAAATTAGACAAAAATTGAGGCATAATAACATAAGTGCAATTAACCTAACTAAAAACTTAATACAACATTCAAAAACAGAATAAATTGAAATAAGTCATCATTTTATTATAGGTAATGTGCATAAAGGTGATTACATTAGAGAATTTGTTGATATTATGTGATATATTTACCAAAATATTTTGTTAAGGAAAGATTTAATCATGAGCATAACATGTGTAATATGTGATTGTAGGTGTTCTACTATGGTATGTTTCATCTTTTGTAGTTAAGTATGATTGTTGATGGTGTTTATAATTGGGTTATTAAAAGGTATTTGGTCTAATTCATACATATTTTGTGTTTTCTAAAATTTTAATCACTTAAAACTCTCTTTTAACTCATTAAAATCACTTTAAATGAGGTTTTTTTAGAGGTTTTAATTGATTAAATTATCAATTTCATTTATTAAAAGTATCTTAAGCAAAATTAATCTCAATAATTATTTTTGGACTAACAGATAAAAATACGATTTGATTGATTAAAAATATGATTTAATCAATTAAATGTACTAGAATTTTAGTTTTTTATTTCTACTCATTTAATCAATTAAGATAACTATTAATAGATTAAAATTTGTCTTCACTTATTCATGTTTCTCTACTTGTTTTTTTAATTTGTCAAGAACTTAAAATAATTGGTTAAAATTTGTGCCAACAATTTTGTATCCCATTTCGATTTTATACACTGGGCTTGTCATATTTGATCAGTCACATTTACTTTTATTGGGACTCATTAATAACTTAGGAATTTAAAAATAGATATCGTCCTATTAAGTCTAATTTATTAGCCTAAAATAAAAAAATTATAATTTATTTTAAAATAATAATCAAACTGAATTATTAATTTAATTTAATTTTTTCACTTTACATCAAGTTAATATTTTTGACACCCATAATAAAACATGCCATCTCATGTTTTTTTTTCAAAACCTTCAGAAATTATATTTGTGAATATTTTTTTATTTATATATTACTTAATTTTTAATTTCTACGTAATAAACAGATAGAGACAACAACAAAATCGAAGAGGACCAATACAACTTTTTTAAAATATTTTCACATACAAAATTTTAAAATAAAATAATTTTCAATAAAATAACTATTTGAACTATAAATTTTAACTTTTTGACATAATAACAAGTATCCATTCAACATAAATTTTTTTGGAGGAGTTAATTTCAATACAAACCAATTTTAAACGTACCAAAAACTTGTTTAAAACTTAGAAACTTATCAAAGCTGTTTTAAATTAAATCAAATAAAATTTCAATTTAGAACTAAACTTACTAGGAAACAAATAAACCATCTAACAAAATTATATAAAACTACATTTGTTTTTCTTCCAAATCAATCTATTGCAATATTTCATTTGCATCCCCCATGCAAAATATTTACTCATATCCCCCATACAATCGATCCCATATGCTAATTTTTCTTGCCTCAATATACACAAATCAACGAGAGAGTTGTAGAACTTGCACATTCTAGCCAGGTGTAAGAAATTGCAGCAGTATCTGACAGCAGATGAATTTCTGATTAAGCCTCCAACTTGGACCCTTCATTCTGTTTGAGGTCACCACGAACGCGCTTCATGTACATCATCACAGCAATAACCAAAAGAAAGACACTGAAAAGAAGAACAAGAACCAGCAACAAGATCTCACCATGGCGCGCGAATCTGGGGTCACTCAAGAAGAGTAACTCATCATTTTGAGCATTATCACTTGGTACTAAAGAAGGTGAGAGAGGTAAAGTTTCAGTGGCCGTGAAGCTCTGATACATCATGTGCATGTGAATTAAGGGGCAAAGGTTCATCAGAAATTGAAGAGTGTTAGTTCAATTTTATTACGTAGTTTTGATCTTGGCTGTATTATTGAAACTGACGAGGGAAGGAGAGGGTTGAAAATGTGACAAAATATGGTTGGAAGCACCCAAATTGTTATCTACGAAAGTATGGTCCCAATGTTTTGGTGCGTGTCCTTGTTTTTGTGTGTCATCATGGAGATAACTGATGAAGCATCTTGCCAATGATTATGTTGGAGCAATAACATGTGTCAGATATTTTACGGTATTTCATCTTCACTAAATCAACAATAATAAACTATCAATCAACTCTAAAATTATTATTCTCTTTGCATAATTCTAAATATTAGATATAAGATATTGGTAAATGAATAATTCATGGTAAAATATATAGTATTTGAAAATCATTTTATTATTATTATATTAATAAAAATAGTTGTCGACTACTTTCCTATCATATTTTCTTTGAAAATATATTATGCAATTTCTTAATTATTGAAAAGTCTTCTTAATTAGTTTCTTGTAATGTTAAATATAGACTAAATTATATATATCGTTAAACAGAACAATCGTATATGTTTAAGGTTTGGTATGGGAAGTATATGTATTAAATAGTTTTTTTAGGTATGTATTTGATAAACAAAATCTATAGGTATCTAAATAATAAATAAATAAAATAAAATTTGATTATTTTAAAAAAATACTTATTTATTCTTTCATTTTTTTAAATAGAATATATCAACCTTAAATATATTAAATTAAAATTTATAAATTAAATATTTTAATTCATTATTTATGTAATAAAACATCACAAAAATTCATGTCTTCTTATTAATCCGTCAATCTGTGAATTAAACTTATGTGATAAACTAACAAAACTATATTTAGTGTTTTATTCGAGTAGTGTATACTTTATATCTTTAATTTGCTATAGTTATATCCTTTAAAAGACGTCTTGACTTTTAAGTTAGTGTTTTATTTTAGTAACGTGTACTTTAGATCTTTAATTTGCTACCAATAGAATATTATGAGACATATAAAAATAGAGTGAAATTCTACTCTCAACCCCATGGGTTATAATAGTATTATTAAGATTAATTTTTATACAAGAGGTACTGTTTGTTTTAGAATATTAGTCCGTTACAATTTTTTTAAAAGATAAGTTAAAAATACATATAAATTATATATAATTAATTTCTGTTGATATTATGGTCGTGTTACCATAATATTATTATGGTCAATTTTTATATTCATATTTTACCTCTAAGATATTGTTCACCTTAAACTTTTATCTATCCTAATTTTATCTTTAAATGTGATTAGAAGAAGGTATATTTAAATTATTTCATGTGAACTCATGGTTAACAAAACAGTTCGTATATTTATCTATTATATTGATATATTTATAATTTTTTTAAAGTTAAGATACAGAATTTTTTTTGATTTAAAGATTACTTAGGAGAGAGGATAGATCGATTAATGATTTGCCGTTGAATTAAAATTTCGAGATTATTGGTGACACACAAGTTGGTCTTTCGCAGTTCGACAGGTCCCGTCGTTGGTTACATCTGTTGGGTCTTACTTAATTTAATTGGAACAGCTTCAAAGTTACTTGCCTTATTTGCTTCACAACGTAATTAATATTTATTAAAACAATATTTCTTCTGTTTATAAATTATCAAAGTTCAATTCAAAATTTATTATCCACATATATCAAATTTTAAAATCATTCCTAAACCCTAAATAAACAACATTTTTCTCTAGGGATATATATATATATATATATATATATATATATATATATATATATATATATATATATATATATTTAATAACATTTGTATGTTACTAAGTTTTATGTATAAGTTAATATTCTGACCCTTAACTAACTTTACATTTTTTTTCGATTTTATGCTACAATTTTATTCTTTCGTAGATAAAATATTAACATATCACAGGTAAGATATTCCTTTATTTATTAAACTAAATTTATTTTATTTTTCAAAAATAAAGTTTTAAACATTTTATTTTTACATTTCTTTCCTAACTATTTGCAGAATGGTTATTATTAATTAAGCAAAGCATTTCATAAACATTTTATATTTTATATTTCATCTTTTCTGTAAAATAAATTGTACAATAAACAGATGTTTAAATCTTATAACAAGTCGAATAGTTGTATTAAACTGTATATCTTGAAATTATTTTTTTAATATTTACCGACATAGTCATCACAAATGAAACACAAATAAATAATATAAGAAAATATAATATTATTTTTAATTAAATATTACTTTTAAATAATATTTTTAAATCATACCACAAGTTAATTATATAAAAAAAATATAATATTATATTTTTAATAAAAAAAAATCTTAGAATAAATTTATATTGAGAGTCTCTTCATGTTATTCAAGTTTTTTTATTTATATTCAATATAAAATAATCACAAATGAATTTTAACACTCAATAGTTACTAACACTTATATTTTTCCAGGTTATTAAATTTTTCTAACCTCCCTAATTAGCTAATTAAAATAGTTACTAAGAACTTAATTTCTATAAATCAGTAGATATGATTGGTTTTTGGACTAATCAATTTTTTTTAGGTCTAACATGAATTAAAACTTTTTTTTATTTTATTATGAATTTTAAAGTTGTAATCATTTGAGAATACTTCCATTTATTTTGTAGCTTGTAATAAACCAGGATCATTTTTATTCAGTCTCATTTGTGTTTTGTTGTAAATTTCAAACTTTTTTCAAACTTAATTTTGAAAATAAAATATGTTTGGAAGTAAAACTAGGTTAAAATATGGTTTTTAAGCTATTTTTAAAATAATTTTAACTTTTCAAAATAAAATTTTCAATTTTTTAGAAATTCATATATTGAAATTGTAATGATTAGATTAGAGAGACACTTTAGGATTACTAATTAGTCCGAGTGGATATATCATTATGGAGTGACTCATGAGAGAGATATTGTTAAAAAAATTGAGTCTAAATCTCAGTTCAATAAGAATGAGAATATTTATCAAAATATAAGAAAAAAATACTTTTGAGAAAAAAATATTTTTGAGTTGAATGTGCTGCATAGTACACTCTCATTTGTATTATTTGATAATTGATTGCAGATAGAATAATTATTAGGAAGGAGAATCCTAAGTTACATTCGTACCATGATAATGACACAAATTTTGGCCAAGTTATGATTATTTGTTTTTATCTATTTATTTTCTTCCTTCTTGACCCAAATGGGAATTAGATTCCCATTCATTTATTTTATTTATTTGTCTTTTCGGCTTAAAATTGGGCTTCAATTCATGGGCTTTTTTACACCACTTGTTTGCCACTCTCACCCCAATTGGGCCGAATTCTATGTATTTATAAATCAATTAATTTTTATTTCTATTTTAGCATTCAATTTTATAATGTTATAAGTATTATATCTTAATTTTAAGTTTACTAAAATATTTAAATAGAGAAACCTATTCGGTGAAACCGTAATGCCTGTTCGCATTCTTGTTTCCTTTTCGGTGCCTTTAATCTGTGCAATTCAATCAAAAATTGTCTTGCGGATTCAATCCGTTACTGTTTCGTTTCTTCAGTGCCTTTAATCCGAGTATAAGCAGCAATTGATGCGGCTGAATTGAATCCGAGCACACGTTGATTCAGTGAGTGCAAATTTTATTTGGTGCTTATCATTTCAAGCAATAGTAGCAGTAGAAGTGTGTTTGATATGCTTGATCGGTGTTTTCTTTTAATTCAATTTAAAAGAAGAAAAAAATGATCGAACAGCTGAATCAGGAAAGGAAGCAACTCAAATTAAATGTGGAAGTGGCACCAATTCATGAAGATCAAGAAGCATGAGTAATTCAGATTGAACTTTCAAATCTGTTTCTGTTGATAACTGTCTCGGTGCAGTCAAGAACATGAAGTAAAACTTATTTGCGTATGAGAGGCAGCGTGATACTAATTGGCATGACAGCATGTTTCAGTGTGGAAGTTGATTCAATTATCAAGCAGCAAACTGTGCAGTGCTAAGTCCAATTCCATGCCGCTGGCGTTGGTTTCTCTGTTCGGTGGCCAGCATAAGAATCGGCGGTGCTGTAATTTGCAGATAAAAATTATGCCAAATCAAATTCAAATAGTGCTGCAAGAGGTGTGTGGTGGAAGCGGTAGTGGAGTAATCCAGTGCTGAATTGAAACTGCAGTGCAGTGCCAATGCCAAATTTAATTGCAGTGAGGTGCAGTGCCGATTGTGGTTCAATTCTGGTGCAGTGGTGTTGGGCATCGTGTTAAGCTGGTGCAGCAACAATGCTGTGTTGAGGAAATTGAATCGACGTGGTGAGGTGCTTGATTCATTAGTTGATTAGATGAAAAACAGAAGGATTACGGTGGTGTGCGGCGGTAAGCAATGAATGAATTGAAATTGGCTGCAATCAGAATTCACTGCCATCAAGTTTCATTCAAGTAGGAGCTGGCAAAGGTATAATCTAGTTGATCTCTCTGAAATTTTGTCGAACTGCTACTGTTCAAGATAATTAGTACTTAAATTTTAGTGTAATTGATATTTGTTGACATTCTTGACCTGTTTTTGGTGCGGATCAGCTCATAGTTGTTGAAAATTTTAACAAACAATTGGTGTAAGTTAAAGTTCTCACTGTGGCGCTACGTTGTTGTGGGGAAACCTGAGTTGACCGGGGAGTTGACCGGGGCGGGGCAGGTTTTCTTTGCTTTAAAAAGTCGGGGACAGGGTGGGGATGGGTAACGTAATCCCCATCCGGACTCGTCCCGCTCCGACATTATATTTAAATTTAAATTTTAAAATATTAATATTTTTAAAGTATTTTCTTTTTTTCTATTAAATATAAGATCATTTTTTATATTTTACCAATTTTTATTTTTTTCTACCTATTTTTTAATTTTTTTATCTTTTATATCAATTAATTTATTATATATTCTCTCTTATACCTTGTAGTTTTTCAT